GGCTAAGTTGGAAAAGGTTAAAGTTAAGGGAGGGTTAGGTAAGGTTAGGTTAGGTTCAGGGATGAATTAGGTTAGGTTAGGAAGGCTTAGCGTTAGAGATGAGTTAGGTAATATAAAATTAGGAATGGTTAGGCTAAAGTTATGGTTAAGGACGGGTTAGGATAAGTTAATCAGGAATGCTTTGGCTTAGAGATTGGTTAGGTTACGTTATGTAGGTTAGGATTGAGGATTTGTATTAAATATTTTTCGATGAATCGGAGAAAATATGCTAGTGCGAAGTTTTCTTTTGTCGTTCCCGATAGTTATTTAACGATAATATAGCAACGAATTTTTTTCATTGTGTGAAATGAACAAAGCAAAAATGTATTTCAAAGTGGCATCTCTTTCTTGGATTCTCTCTCTCTCTCTCTCTCTCTCTCTCTCTCTCTCTCTCTCTCTCTCTCCTCCTTTTCCCACACCACACATACGCATCTGACTTTTATAAGTAAATAAATATATTGCGATGTCAAACTGCTTGATCTATTTCTGCTATGTGTGATGTTAATCCACTTCAGCATAATTTGTATATTTTATATATCAGATTATAGGATCCAGTGAAAACTCCAATTTTCATGAAATTTTGCATTCACATTAGCTGTAATATTTTCTAGTCCGGCAACTAGTGATGAAAAAAAAAGTTTCTCGATATGAAAGATATAGTAATAGTTCATAAATGAGGATTTCCCCAGTCCTCGAAAGGATAGCAATTTATTTCGAGTTTTACGCATTAGTGAGTTCGAAACGGCCATCACAGGACATCGACAGTCTGATTGAGTTTTATTGTTCTTTATAAATCAGCCGAGGCGAGATGAAAAACGCCTAGGAAATCCGGTTCGGTTCCGGGTGGGGTATAAATTAGCTCCGACTCTTTTATTTACAATTCTAAAAAAGAAATAATTCTTTTCTTTATTGTGCCAGTGTAGAATCAGATGCCTAAAACGAGGCTTGTGACTCACAAACGGACTATCTTAGGAATGTAATTTGTACCGAGGGTGACTTGATTCCCTCCTTCTTTCAACCACCCCCGGCCCGGCGACTTCTCTTTTTCGCCCAAAAACAAAACGGGTTTCGGTCTGCTACGGTGATTTTTTATATATTTCTTCTTTCTTTTTATTCGTTAAATTTTTCCCTCTCTCACTAGTGCTTATTAAGCATTAACAAAAAAAAAATCAATCATAACTATCTTAACTAGTTGAACTTGAGGCAGTGCTTTTCAACCTGTATTTACATTAAGAAAAACAATTTATGCTTGTACTTTTATTATTTTTAATGTGTTTAATTTTTTATGTTTCTGTTTATACTAGGACACTTGATGTCAGAAATATCATGCCAAATTTCGACTCAAAAGTCACAGGACACCGTACCGACGTGGGCACAAATTTCCTTCAAAATACAAACTGAAACCTATTTTGAAATAAGAATCTTTACAAGTTATAAAATTTATTTCTTAAATCTTTTGATACCACGAGCAATCAATTTACTATCAATTGATTCTTCCTTGAACAAAATTGGAGAGGATGGCGTTTTTTCGAAAAAACAATGTTCGGAAACAGTTTTCTGCAAATGTCTTAAGAACGGTTGTTCCAAATTGAAAATATTTTGCACCTTTGAATTCAGCGACAAAAAATCCTTTCAAAGAAGTTCAAGAACAAACGTTGATGAGTAACTTGCCATTTGATATAGTTAAGCCCCTATTTGTATACCACTAACGTGCAAAACGAGTGAGTGAATGAGTGAGTAACGAAAAACTGACAGAATAAATGAGAGAGAACAAAAAGAGTGAAACAGTGAGTTTATAAATGAATGTGTGAATGATAAAGAATGAGTTTAGTGAGTGAATATAATATGAGAGAGAAAGTGAGTGATTGGATGATTGAGTGAGTTAATTAGAGAGAGAGAGAGAGAGAGTTAGTTCGTGAATAAATGTGTGAATGAAATTAAGTGAGTTTGCGAGTGAATAAATCCGTGAGTGTGAGTGAATGAATGTGAAAAATAGTCAGTGTGTGCATGAATACTTGAGTGAGTGAGAAGCAAAAACAGAGAGAGGATAGAATGGGTGAAGCAGTGAGTTCTTATATGAATGTGTGAAAGTCAATAAGTTAGTGAGTGAATTAATATGAGAGAGAGTGTGCGACAGTGAGTTTGTAAATAAATCTGTGAAAGATAAATAGTAAGTTACTAACTGAATGAGAGATTGATTGATTGACTAACAATTTACAAATAAAAATTCACGCAAAAGTTAGGTCTCTAGGATCTTTCTTTCAGTTAACATGAACTAGACTAGATGTAATAGTCTAGTTACATTATTAATTACATTCAGAGAGTAAGAGAGAAATTGGATGAATGAGTGGGTGAATAAGTGAGAGTGGGTTCGTGAATGGATGTGTGAATGAAAAAGAGTGAGTTAGTGAGTGAACGAGAGAGGGAAAGGGAAAAAGAGAGAGAGTGAGTGAAACAGTGA